GCCCTATTGCGACGCGTAGGTGATCAAACTGATGTTGTTTTCCGTAGCTTTTGTGCTTTCATGGGGGTGGACAGCAATGTCTATCTCACCGCATGTGCAGGTGAAAACTTTAGACGTTATGCCGACTGGCGATTGAGCCAGTTCAACGTCACAAAGCAGAGCACTATCTGGGTGGAGTGGAAATTCCTCCGACTGCTCTACAAGAGAGTCGCTGGAAAGAAGATGGATGAGATCGTTGGGGAGCAGGTCAGTGAGGTGAGTCCCACCACACCATCCTGGGGGAGTATGCTGAGGTAAGCAATCCCAAAAAAAAGGCTAATCGGAAAATTGTTGACCCATTGCCCAGGAGTCACAAGGTGGGGCAAAAGTTGTTCATCTGGACAGTCTACATTAAAAAGCGTAAATTTGCACCCCGATTTCGATGAGTGGTGATACTAAAAAGCATTTGGATGCACTTCTCTTTCCCATAGCCAGATGGCTGCTCTTCTATGTACTCCTCGCCATAGCAATCTCTCTACATGCGCGTTCCTAATGCCGTCGCCGCCGCTTTCCACAGTTTTCCTGGCCTACAGCCCAAGCGGGTTGCATGGTTCTCTTGGATTGTGGCTCGGTCTAATATCACTGTGTCGGTTAACGAACTTCAATTTAGGTTTGGATTGCAACTGTACCTGATGGGTTTTGATCGTCGACTCCAGGAGCGCAATATACGAAAATAGGGTCTTGGCGTCCGCGAGGATTACTGCACAGTCAAAGCCATCTAATTTATGGATATGCCGTCTCACTTCAGCTGTATATTCTTCCAGCCTCTTCCGGATGTAGGCCACCTCTTCCTGACTAAGAGGTTTATACATTTGCTGAAAAGGCATTATCGGCCGGCTATCTGCAAGAGCTGTATGGATTGATCGAGTCCAATCCGGTACGGGTTTCGAGGGTTGGAGATTCAGTGGATTGCTGGAAAGAATGATATGGATGGATTCCCCGGCAGCGCTTTTTTCACAACGTACAGCGCCGTGAGCTGTCAATTCCCAAGTGCGTGTTGCCTGCACCGGAGATGTCGGTCTCGTTGAGCCAGTAGAGCTCGGGGAGATGTTTTCCCGAGACTCAACAGACTGCTGCTGGACCCTCTCGGCCATGGTTGTTCCTTGGTCAATATCGTTGTTTTCTGCGTCCAGATGTCAGTTACGATCCGTTATCAATTGGATGATGGGAGTTTCTGTTGCACCTGTGGCAGAACTTGAACCACTGCCACCTCTGCTGTCCACTGGGCCGGTCTCTAATTCCTTAGTCTTACGAGCTCGAGTTGTCCGGGTACTCATGATGGAAATGTGGCGTCAGATGGTCTGCAAAGCTTGGGTGACCTTTGTGAGGAGAAAAGGGAAGATGGAACAATGGACGCAAAGTGGGAGGAGGGCTGGCTTTATATGCCTCCAGCCCCCTGATCTACGCTAATTGTCCTCCTTCGAGACCAGATGGGGAGTGACCATGAAGGAACCGCATTGTCCACCCCATTCATTAGTGATGAGCTACGGATAGTTTATTGATCGAGCATGCTCGGAGAAACGGCACCTACGAACAGAGGGAGATTCCTCCGCACTTCCCGTTGAATGGAGAGCGATGTTTACAAAATTTGACTAAGTTCCGTCAATTATTGAACTATGACAAAAAATCAAACAAGGCAGATCTTGTGCTGGATAAAAGGCGAAGTCATGGAGGTTCAGCGTTAGAACAAGCAGCGTTGCCATCAGATACAATTACTGACAAAGAAACATGAAGAAGTAAGAAGGAAAGAAGGAAGGAAGGAAGGAAGGAAAGAAAGAAAGAGCAAAGCGCGCGCATTATTCCTCACAGGTGGACTGCCTGACAGCCGGCGATCATAGCATACCGATCAATCGTCATGTGTATGCTCTCATATTATCAAGCGCTCCAGCGCCATGGAAGTCCTGATCGAATTCTTCGGCGCAGTTCAGAGCTGTCTCGATATGCGTGATGGTGACCACCTCTCCTTTGGCCAGTGCAAATGCAGCTCGGGCAATGTTCTTGATCTGGATTACCATGTCAGCCACCGCACATGATATGGATATCGACTGCTTACCTGTCGCCCATTTGAGCTTTTATTCAGCAGTTTTTCCAACTCTTTTTTCGAGATTTTTGCGCTAGCATTGCTCAATTGTTTGCTCCACACTCGGGATTTGGCTTCCAAACTCAGGGATTCATATTTTATACCGACGTGTATCCGACTTTGCATTGCCGGGTCCAACGTGGTAGTAAGGAACATGATCCCTTCAAAATACTCGAGCGAGCGGAGAAACACAGATACAAGAGCGTTGTGATGCAGGCCGTTGACGCTGCGTTCGCTCAGAAAGACATCAGCTTCGTCCAGAAGCAATATCGCATCCCAGCGACGGACGAGGTCAAGGACACGAGATAGATGTTCTTCCAGATCATCCGCTTTGATTCCGAAATCGCCAGCGCATGCCTATTGCAATTAGAACGAGATCGCACATTGGGGGCGAAGGGACAAACCGAGTAGAGCGGCCTTCTCAGGAGATCCGCAGTACTCTCCGCCGTCAGGGTTTTCCCAACTCCAGGAGGCCCACTGAAATGCCAGAGTTAACCGGATGATCCAGCAAGACAGCTTTCTGGCAACTTACTACAACAAGAATATGAGGCCCCTCCCTTTTCCGACGACGATGTCATCGAAGGACGATATCTCCGAGCCAGGCCTGTGGCTCTCCACCATCGTCTGGATCATGGCTTTCTTTTCTTTAGGGATCTCCAAGTGATCGAACGACGATAACTGGCTCCAGTCGATGGGACAGATATTTGAAATCGCGAATTCCGCTGTTCCCATGTTACATTAGCGCAGGTAAAATATTAGGAAAATGTTGGCACTGACCCCACACCCTTTTGCTGAGACTGAAGCCCAGGACCGTCGGGCTGCAGAGGATGTACTCCCTGTCTGTCATGTTCTTGGCATCTAGATTTCGAGGCTTCACCGTCTTCTGGTCCTTCTCTTTTTCATATCCATTGTCAGAAAATATAATAAAACCGCCTGTGCTCTCTTCCTTTACCCGTGAGAATCCGTAGTTCGGGTTCTTTTCCTTAAAAGCTAAGGCATCAACCATCATCCGGCCAGCCACGTGGAATTTGAATGGGCCTTTATTCGTCTTTAAATGGGCAAGACCTTCATATTCGCAGTAGGCGACGCCCATAAGGCCCTTGAACTTGCGGCCTCGCTCAGAGAGCTCAGCCTCGATTTTGGCTTTGCGATTATGAAATTTCAGAGGGAAGGCCCCCAGGTCGGATATCTTTCTAGCGGATCGAAATTTCGGGATCTGAAGCACCGTTGTCACTTCACCAAATACCTTTCCGTCATAGTCGAGCGACCGACATTCAATCTCGAAGTGATCCCCTTGGGGGCTCAATACGAATTCACCCGAGTCATAAACGAAACACCGAGGCTGCTCGGAACATGGGTCAACCATAAAGATAAGCTCATTTGGCTTGAACATTGCCCAGAGGAGTTCAAAAGTAATCTCTTGATGGTCCAACAGGGGGTTTAAGCGATCCCTCAACGGAGAGAAGTGTCTTTTCAAGAATTCAATAAGTAGGTAAAGGTGTTTTCCAGCAATCGATTCGGCTTCAAGGGTTTTGTAGAAATCCTCGAGCTCCGGTAGAAATTGGAAGAGGACGTCAACCGGCACCTGTCGATGTTAGACCCATGCACCTGCGGGAGTTATGGGCTGATGGCTTACCGATGGCTTATCTTCCCGCAAACTGACGGCGCTTACATCTAGCAACACATGTCGAAGGATATCCACCAATTCGGGCGATTTATAGTCAAGGTAGGTCTTGATCTCGTTTGTATTGCGGTCTTGAAGAAGTCAGAGCCTGTTCTTTGATCCATATGATTACTACCTACCATGTCGGCGTCGATTGACGAAGACATATTCTTTGTATTTGTCGCATGGGTCCGACGAATCCTCGACGTCTTTCACAATCTCGTAAAGATGTTGCTTCTTGTTCCAGCTGGAGAAGGGTCAGCTCGGTCTTCTCTAAGATTGGACTAAGCTTACATTTCATTCACGGTTGTGTATTCCAACTTTGATGCTCGGGTCACTTCTTTGGTTGATTCCTTCTCGTTCGCTTTTGTGTCTAGTTCGGCGGTTGGGTTAGGAGCAGTAGATTGTGCAGTAGACTGTGAAGGGCTCGATGATTCTTTCATTCGGAGGACTTCCACTAGAATGTCCTTGAGCTCTTCCCTGGTTACGAAGCTGGGAACGCAAGGATTACTGTAGTTGGGGGGTGGCGTTGAGGAGGGGGAGGAATGGGGGCATTCGGGGAAATCTTGGGGATTGGGCTTCATCGTGGCGTGGTTAAAATGTTAAGAGTTTGGACATTGTGATTTCTAAAGATATAGCGACAACGTGTAATGGCTCGCAGGGATTGGAATTGGGAAGTTTTGCTCGGTAAGTATTTCTTGATTGCCTCAGGATTTCGGGGGAAACTGTGCCTCCTTATATGCCATTCTGTCGACACCCCTGGCACCTATTCCTTTATCATCTTCCCTCTCTGCCGGACCACGTGGATACTGTGCCGCAGGATGCATGATCTCGACCATGTCGACGTGGTATCACTCTGAGAACCTGTTGGAGGAAGCTTCCCGTCCTCTGCTCTGCGCTGGGAATCTGAACCCGTCTAGATTCCTGGTTTGGACGCAAGTGCCCAGGTTCGTCATCGTTGAACTCCATTTTTCACAATCCCTGGGCGTATGAAATTAGACGATCAATCGAAAAAGGATGCATGTTGCCATTTAAGGGGTCGAAGGCTACGAGAACCCGCGTCTCGTGCCTAAGGATGCATTAAAACTTACTTACCTCGGAATTGCTGAGACTATTGGGTAGCTAGGCATGCTGTTGCGTAGCCAAGTGTATCTGATGTATGCATTAAGTTCCATGGAACTTCCGTCTGCACGAGTATTCCATCGAAGATGGAAATGGTTGAAGAGGGTTTTTGAAAAATTTCATTGCAGGGGGGCTATCGAAAATTTCAGCATCTTAGCATGAAATTGAAGATTGGACTAGCACCGCGCCACAAATCTGGGGAAACCGAATCATTGGTGCCGACTGTGGGAGTCTGGGCCTAATTTTGCAGATATAATGCCCGCCATCACTTCACATGGAAAAGCTCGGTCACATTCACGTTTTCGAGAATTTCAACATCCAAAGGCAATAATGGAACCTTTGAAGAGAACTGTGATTTGATTGTGTAGGATTCCCGGGTACCGTGGCATCCCAAACATATTCTGGGATGCTTAATAAAGCAGGATTAATCGTGTCAACAGGCGGTTCATAGGGAAGATTATGCAGTACGCATGTCGCGGTGCGGGGCTGCATATGCTTAGTCCAATAATAACATTGGTGATCACCCCGCACAATTTAAGCTTGTGTTTAGGGGGCGTAATCAATCGACCTGACCACGAGTTCCATCGGACGCTGCAAGTTTGAAATTTTCGAAAGTTTAACTCTGACCATGACACCCAAAGAGCCATTGATCCAGTTGTTTAACAAGCAATTATGGGGGCTTAACTTTGATGGCGCTACAAAACAGCTTGCAGTGCTGGAGGAATGGTGAATTATGAATCTTTGCCGAGATTAGACTGCAGGGAGTGGATTCGAGTTTAAAAAAATATGTGAAAATTCCTCTTGCGGCACAGTGCCCCAAATTTGAATGATTGATTGAACAAAGAACAGCGGGTATTTAATTAAGGAACTACAGAAATAATTGGCGGTAGTATATCATTCCATCGCCTTGATATCATCAATAGCCTTGTCAAAAGCATAGATGATTGGCCGGTAGAGAATCTCTGGATCCTTAGGTGTGCCAGTGAAGAGGCCATTCCTGTAGGGAAACAAAATCCCCCGCAACTCCTTGCAGAGCGGTTTGACACATCCAAAGGGTTGTGGAAATTCATTGAGGATATCCTCAAAGCCATCGACGCCCATATCACTTCGTTTAATTCTTGCAATATCCCTGAAGGTGCCAGTATACCATTTCGTCCAGCAAACTGTCTTTTGGTCGATCCTTTGCGTTATCAGAGAATTTCCACCCACGGCGGGCACACTGCCAGATAAGCACGTAGAATAATGACTCAAGATCATGCCGGTATGTATGGTCCGCGCCGAGCAACACATCGATGGCCATAAACTCCATAGTGCCAGTGCGACAGCGTGCACCGCTTCTCCCAGTGCCAAGTTCCTTAGCAAGATCCATGTCAATCAGCATCCCCGCAAAGCCAGTCTCTTCAGTATTAGTTATGATGATGTTGTTCTCAGAAATGTCTCGGTGAAGGACATTTCCTTTGAAATATAAGGACTTGTGCGCCTTGACCGCGTCGCGCAACGCTTGCAACAGCTCCAAGGACGACCGGTATTTATGGATTGGCCGGCCCGCGGGATAGATGACGAGACAGCGCAAAATGCGATTGTCGTACGGTCCATTGCTGGGAGCGACCAGACTTGCCCCCTGCGTTTCTTCCACATCATACGTGACCTCATTATGGAATGGCCCCGACCGCTGGCTGTTCGACCTGGATCGCTTTTTTGGATTTGTGCCCGCGTCATTTCCTTGGAAGCGATTGTTGCCGTCCCGCTCTATGAACATGTCCAGACCTAGTTCGTCCTCATTCATCATCGTGTAGCCGGCCATCATCCGTATGAATCGTTCCGGCTCCTTGTGGATATTGAATGGACCCGAGCTGTAGCATCCTGAGCGGTCAAAGACCCACGCTGTCATCTGCGGGCCTTCGATGCTAAATGCGTGCAAGTAGCGGCGCGTCGGCTGACAGGCAAACACGTCTCGCGCGTACCGGGCCAGCTGAACCAACGTATCCTTCACGCCCCTATTATCTGACGCCTTGAGCTCACCGATCGCCTCGATGTCTCTCCAGTCATGCTCGGTGTCCGATGGCTTTCCGCTCTTTCGTTTGACGATTAGGTCGACCTGCCGCCGAGCCTCACCGCCGATAAGTTCCCGTGGGATGTTGATCGTGTAGTAGCGACGTCGCTCCTTCGAGAGATAATTGTCCTGCAGTTGGAACAACCAGTCATGCACTTTTTCCTGCTTGGGCGAACCAGCGAGACTGGCCCATTCACCGTCATGTTGGTCCTTTACCGATTCGTAAGCATCCCAGGAGCGATCTGTCCAGTCCTTCCCCCTCGAAATATTTCTCAAAGAACCCTGGCACAACCCGATACGCGCAGTCCCGGATCTCCTCAAAGACTCTTGCTTCGATCAGCTTCCGGGTCTGTTCGGCGCCTTGCTGCGACGCGGAGGTATGCGTAATCGGCGTGCTGTTAAACGCCGGGGGGACACTTGCTGGTGTGGGGGTCACTCTTGGGAGCCTAGTAATGAGATCGAGAACGGCGCTCCAGATATCGTGGTCGGGCGCCTTTTTGATGACGAGCGTCATGAGTGGACGGTAGTAGGTGTAGTTGAAGTCGCCGTTTCGAACCCGCTCAAACAGACGTGAAAGTTCAAACGCAATGTCACGACTGCTTATCTTTGAACGAAGATTGAATGCAGCTTTTTCTCCCTGAAAGGTAGAGAGAAGTTGCGACACCGCATCCTGGAGTTGTTCAGATCTGTCATCAGCGCCATCAAGAGAAGCTGACCAAGGAGTGTGATTGTTCCACCTCCTGGAGCAAATCTTGTAAGTGGCTGAGAGATTATTTTAGGGGGTGGCACTTGATAACACTGTGGTCACTTTCCGATAGAGAAGTCATTCCTTAAGAGGAGGGGAGATCAGACTTGAAATGAGATTGGAGTAGTTGGTGAGGTTTCTGAGGCTGGGGAGAAAAACGCACCACGGCGCGGGTAACGTCTTCCGTGCGTGTCTCTGCCCACCGCTTAGCTCGGGGTAGATCATTAGACTGGTTCTTTTGATGGAACGCCTCTGTTGTC